TCAAAGTGTGAAAGCTTTTTCTGGTTTCTATATTTGGTCTAGTGGAAGACGTTGAAATCTGAAAGCAAAACTTTTTCCCCGAGAAAATTTCATTTAATGATTAATATCCACATATCTTTGAGGAATAAAAAGAATAATATTTTTGTCTGCAAATTTTCAAAATAGTATGAACTTATTATGAATTGTGTGTATATTATTGACTGAGAGATATACATGTATTTATACAGAAGGTAACACATGAAAATAGAAAGAGTATATTTGTACAATAAAGGAGGATTGTATAGAAGCAAATCAGATCACCATTAACATATATGAGTATCCACTAATAAATAATACTCTGTATTATCTTTTAGTCACATTTTAGGTAGCTTAGTGTAAATTATTATATAGTAAATTATTATAAAATTATTGTTTGAATAAATCTATTTTTTGATCAACGTATTCACATGTTAATACATTATTTTAGATTTTTTAAAAAATGTTTAAAAATTCATTAGACGTCTAAGTTCTAACCATGTGTTTTTTTTTTAATTGTGTCTTGTATCATCCATATATATTTAGATATAGTCCTATTATAAATGATGATCAATCGAATATAGCAACACATGTGATTATATATGTACACACGACTAACGATTTTGCATTTATTAGTATGTAGATACTGTATTTTTTGAGTATTGAACTCTAGACTTGGTGTATAAACTTTTAAATACCCTGACCATTGAAACCAACAAAAAAAGTTTGACTTTCTGCAGTCGATTTTTTTAGCGATTTGATCAAAAGTGGAGAGTGTTGGTGGTTTTGGCCGTCTAGCCAGAATAGAAACAAAAATAGATAAGATCATTGGTGAAGTTAGACAAGTGAAACACAATTTGCCAATATTTAATGAAGTATTGAAATAAGACTTCACCTCAAGTTGCTATTAAATTTCTTACGTGTTAGTATTCATTCTCTTGCGCTACAAAACTTCTCTTGGGAATCTTTAAAGTGTGAGAAAATGTTTTCTTCAGGTATTTTTTTGATCAGAAACGTCAATCGTTCGTGTAAATATTTGGGAATATTTAAAAAGTTGGGTATTTTAATAGTACTATCCCATGTAATTATTTTATCTTGTTTGAGAAAATCACCTTAAATTTCCTTGGTTAAAGACACCTTAAACGCAGAAGTGGTCTAATGGTTGAAGATTCACCTTGGTCACTTCGTGATTGCAGAAGTGAGCCGAGGGAGAACAATAGGAGGATACACAACTACAAGATTTAATAGGTAAATACGTCCTTTGGATTGGTAGAAAGGAAAAAAAAAACATAAAAAAATCGAACAACTGGAATTTAATTCATCTATATTAGTGCTATTTTAATTCTCTCTAAGGTTCTTGGACATGGCCGATGGTATTCTGTGACGATCTAAAATCGACGAAGTTGCTTCTTTTGCAGATTTATTGTTCAAGACAATAATTTTTGCTTCTTCTAAGTCAAACCTCAACTCCTCGGTGCAACATTTCTCTATGAGCTCACTTAGATGCTTCAAATTTATCACTTCCACTTTGTTCACTTTCTTCACCTGTTAATTAAACACAACAAATACAAATTATCTGTTCATTTTTTTGTTTCTGCCAAAAAAAAAAAAAACAATCCGATAGGATTTTAATTTATAAACTATAGTTCTGATTCTCAAGTTTTAGTACACAACATGTAACTAATATGCAATAAAAATGACTTACCTGCAAATCTTTGAAACTCCTGTATCCTGTATTGATGCCATCCGATAACACCTAAACTCAAAAAAAAAAAGAAAATCAAACTCTTTAACTCTTCATGGCAGAATAATAGAGGCTTAGATATGGTCCTATTCGTTGCTACGTTTGGATGCGGATGCAATGCAGTACCATATATCGTTTGTAAGGGCATGATTATGAGTGGTAAATAAGAGCATCTGTAATGCTGACACTTTCAAAGTGCCATAAACATTAAAAAAATAAAAAAATTAGAAAAAGTGAAAAAAGAGAAGAAAATTAAAAAGACCCGGTTCATTGTAGTGTAACTTTAGAAACATGTTTACAAAGTTTCATCCAAATGTTATAATTTCATTGGTTCAACTTACA